CATCGACCCATAAAGTGCCCACCGGACGTCCGTCCCCTAAACCCAAGCCTCCTGGCGAGACCCCCTGAGAACATCCCAAGGAAGAGAAGAGTGTCGTCCCCACAGGTGACGTCCGGCCCCATGGTATCAAACCCAGAAAGGCATGTAGCTGCTGGGGACGTACGTTAGGGGATACAGAGTGGCTCATCAACTTGGGAGGCGCCAGGGGTATTAGCTGGAGAGGTACGTCGGATTCAATTCTACTTCCTTATGTCCCGCGCACGCTCGGAACATCAGAAGCGGGGGACTTGTGTTAGGTTAATGTCCCAACGGGGGTTAGCCTATAAAACCCTCAATGGCCGCTCTACGGACGTCCTCAAAAGGTACAATACAATGAGTTACCTTTCCGTGGATTCTGGAGAGGTTCGTCCCCAACAGGGCCAGGGGACGTACATATCCTAGCGTCGACAGGTCCCTTGGCCAGGAGCAGCACAAGACGCTCGTCTGGCAGGACTTGGATCCCAGCAGGAAGAGGAGGCAAGATCATGGGACGAACGTCCCCTTCCCTGGGCTGGATGCCAATATCCCAGTAGGAGGAGGAGAAAAGCTCATGGGATGAACGTCCCCTCCCCTTGGCTGGATGCCAAGATCCTAACAGGAGGAGGCATGCTCATGAGACGAACGTCCCATCCTCTTGGCGGGAAGCCAAGATCCTGGCGGGAAGCACATTTAATGTAGAAGATTTGATGGTTGGGGTCAAGCGATCCACAACCCGCCACGTCAATGCATCGAACTACCCATTGACAGTATAAATAGAAGCATTTATTTCATTGTAAAGGGTTCGCATCTTAGCACTCTAGCATTATAGCAATTGTATCAGCTCGTAGTATAGGCTAGGGACAAATGGTCTCACGCCCTGTATGCTAGGTACGAACGGCCTCAAGCCTTTGTACCGAAATTAATATACTAAGACTTCTTACTGGGCCTCCTCTTGCTTGTTTCTACATCTTCACCTTTATTTCTTCCCTTTGAAACCCTTGGGTCATGTGTTGGGCCTACGGGTTGACGGAATAAACCTCAACAATGACTTTTTAAACTGTTAATAGTTCCCTTTAAAAAAAACTGCTAATAGATCCCTTCCAAAAAAACTGCTAATAGATCCGGTCATCCGGGCGGCCTAGCTATGTTGCAAATGAAGTGAGTGCTAAATCCAGTAATTAAATGTCCTCTCTTTGACGTCAATGTAGTGTTATTTCTTTACTTCTTCTGCCGGTGGCTTGGGTTCTTCTAGTTGTGGCGGCGGAGGAACGCCGGCGTCAATGCAGCTCAGGCACTTCCTCTCGACCCATCCCTATATGTCGTGCTCGCCTGAGCCACCAAAGTGGTGGCCACCGCAGAGACGGGAGACTATGCCTGCAATGGCTTCAAGAAGAGTGATGACGGCCAACATAACGAGCAGCGTCTCGATTGACGCGCGTGTGGAGGACTGTATCGTCGTCGTCGGAGCTGGTGTCGGTGATGGGTGTTGTGATTGCACCACCAACCAATGTGGAGGCGTCCCCACAGAGTATACAAGTAGGAAGGAGATGAAAAAAGTAGAGAGCATATGTACTAAATTAAGGGGATGTTTTGATCTGATTTTAAAACAACTTCAAGCACAAGTTGAAGTGCTGGTGCCCTAATTTACTTCTAGAATCAGTTTTTATAGAAGTCATAGAAGACAAACTTCTGAAAACTGATTCTGATTATGTTCCTTCTTTAAAAATGAAGCAGAAGCGGGATGAGTTACAAACACCCCCTAAATTGATGCTACAGGTGGTGGACAAAAGGAAAGGCAATCAACAAACGCCCGGGGTGAAAATGGGTTGAAAAATATTTCGTGTACAATCTTTAGCACACTTTGAAATGATTTGAAATCATTTTTTATTTTTATAAAAATTTATAAGAAAAAATAATTTGGGTCTTAAATAGGGCTCAGGTAATTTGTTTAGATTATGAAAGATATGATTTGAAGGAGAATTTTTGTGCACCAGTTAAGTACTGTGTAATCGAGAGGTCATAGTTCCAATCTTGGGAGAGACCTCTAGCTTGTCAAAAAAATGACACGTAAGGCTTGACCCTCATACCATCGCGTTACAAAAATGTCTTCATGTATGGACTGCCCCTTGTTCATGAAACATGTTCTTTGTCATAAAAATACATTGGATTTTTTTTTTCTAAAATTGAAAAAGTATTGTGTACTAAAACCTTTTTTTTAGATTGCTAGTTATAGTATTAGGGATACGACTAAACGATTCATTGTATACAGGGGAGTAGACAAAGCGATGAGCGTAACTTGGTATACACTTTTTTGTACACATTTGTATCGGTAGAAGGAAGCCATAATTACCCATGTATAAAAAAGTGTACACTTTTCCCGTAATTTGGTAGAAGGAGGGCACTTTTTAGTCGAACTGCGTGTGAATAAAAAGTGTACAAACAATGGAGAAACATATCCCCCTCTTAATTGGTAGAATGAAGGCAGAATTAAAAGGTATGTTTGGCACAAATAACTCAAAAGATACTTGTAAGGGCTTTTTAGTAATTGTTAGCTTTTAGTGACAAAAGATCTTAAAAGAAAAAGACAAAAGTTATTTGATATAAAGCTAACTGTTTGATTCAGTTATGTTTTATTTTTAAAAAGCTATTAAAAATTGATATGTCAAACTTACAACTAGAATATTTTTAAAAACTTTTAAAATAGTACAAAAGCTATAAGATAGGAACTTACCTACCAAATATGCACTTAGTGAATAACCATTGGCGGCTGTAAAGGAGAGCAATTTTGTTCACCCTTATCAAGGAGGGCGATGTTCACCCCACCCCTATGCTGCTGTCATGTGGCGTGCCAACATTTTTGAATGACCATTGGCGGTTGTTATAACCTTTTCATTTATACCGTAAAACACATTTTCATTTATTGTATGAAGTACTGTTTTTTTTAAAAAATACACGCATCAATTTTTTTTAACTTTTTATTAACTTTCTAATGATACCAACATCGTATATAAAAAATTTGAAAAACACTATTTTCTCTAAATATCTAATTTTAGCCATTTTTATTTTTAAATATGCAATATTGGTCTCATATGAAGATCATAAAAAAACTGAGTATATTTTTAAAAACAATGGACAATAAATGAAAAATTATAACAATCGCAAAAGTAAAAGGTATTGCATGCCACATGGGAGCCCCATAGAGGAGAGTGTACATTATACACCCGGTTGTACAGTGCTCACTATACATCCATAAATTTTATGTTATACTTGATGAATATAATGTTTAAAACAAACGAGTATTGGTATTGTTGAGGTAATTGGCCCAATACCCCATGGAGAAACAGGACCAAGAATCCGCTAAGGCCCAAAGACCGCTCGACCGAGATCGGGTGGCACGCGCCGCCCGACATCACTTCCTTAGGCCGCTACATCACCAAGCATAGTAGCCTCGCCCAACAAGCTCAATTTCATTGGCGGGAAAGTAAAGAAATTGATGGGAAACACATTAAATGCACCAGATATGCGAGATTTGGTGTTTGGAGGCTTAGCCACTAATAGTCCTCCACATTAGCACTACCACCTACCCCATAGTAGTATACATAGTAGCATTTGTTTCATTGTTAGGGGTTTGCAAGTTGTACTCACTGACTTTAGCTTTCTATTCTCCTATATTCTCAGCTTAGAATAGACGATCGGCCCTCAGCCCAGTAGGGTGGGCTGTAATTGTTTTAAGTTACTTAATAGAATTTGGCCCACTTAATGTCCTTTTCTCTTGCTAAGTACTCTTGCCATTGAATTGAATGGTTAATTAAGCCATAAAAACTCACACTATTCACCAAACACATCCAACGAAAGCCAAGAAAAGGTGTTGAGCTCTTGGACTTGGAGGAATAAACCTCAACAAGTATTAAATCAGTGTATTAATAACAAAATTGAGTATTAGAAACATGCAATTGAATGTCATGATCTAGACGTAATATATATACTACAAATCAACTTATTCATTTAACTATATTATAATTGTACTATTATCAAAATATTTATTATATTGATTTTATAATTTAATATCAATACTCATTTCTTTTAAGTACAGCTATATGCACTTTGCATACCATAGAGGTGGGGTGAAGACAGTGGCGGACCCCGAGATTTGTGAGAGCGGGGGCACACTAGACACTAAACTTAGTCTATAATAAAAACTCCAAATGTAATAAAAATGGTAAAAAATGTATTAAGTTATACGGAATAGTTAGTTACATATTAAATAGTTCGTTAATGCAACTTTGGAATATCAAGCCTACGACTCTACGAGTTTTCATATTCTGAAAATGTTGCATAATAGTTTCATTATCAATGCTTCTAAAAAAATCTATCTCGATGTAGCACACAAGCAATCTGTAAGATAGTCATCTCCCATCTTATTGCGAAGATCTGTCTTGATAATATTCATCGCAGAGAATGCCCCTTCAACGGTAGTTGTTGCACCTGGTAATACTAAAGCTAACTCAATCATACGATATACCAGGTGAAAAGAATTGTGAACTTTAAGCTCAACCATCTTTTTACAAACTCCACCAATAGTTTGTACGACATAAAATAATTCATTTGTTCTTATTTTGATATAAACATGCCTCGAGTTGCTCTTTCAGCTCCAACAACTAATTGCAATGTGAGCAAAACAATGAATATACCTTGCGTGTGGATTAAGAGTCTTCAATCCATTAAGCTCACCTCGCATATTAGTTTTTATTTTAATTCAGCTAAAATTTAAATATTTTGTATTAATTTTTATTTATATAACTGTAACATTTTAGTATCTTAATTATCAAATATTGGTATGCCTCCCCTAACCCCCTTAGGTCCTCCACCTGTGAAGATGATGAGGGTGAACAAAACTAGTATAGCCGCAAAGTCAAAGTCGGTTAATTGCAGTTGATTTCTTTTCTGCAAAGAAAGTCAAAATGTAATGAAGGGTATACACTATTGTCATCATCATTTATAAAACTGTCATTGTCTTTCCATATTTGGGCATATATGCATCTGACCGTTCCTGATATTTTCATTTTGTTCTCCGTGAAATAAATGTGGACAACTTCCATCATTCACGATCGACCGCACCGACCCATATCCTAGTTTTTTCATACATAATTCTCTTTTACCCCGTGAAATAAATATTAATAGGTTGCAGAATTGAAAACCATACTGTAATTTGCCGAGAGAGAAAGGCGGTGGTGATAAAGCTCGGGGGAGTGTTCGGAGATCTTTTATGGGTCGCCAGCCTTCAAGACCGGTCTGCTGTTAGGCACATTGATCTGAAGGTTTGCCGAATTCCTCCACTTCTGCATCAACTTATTTATAGAAACGCGTACACCCTAATTGGGATATTTTGGATTCCCCCATTTCGAGAAAATTTGAATTTTCCATTCTAATAAGATTAGTTTGTAGGATACCCTTTTCCGCTTACTTATTTATAAAAATGCATTTTTCCGGTTTGTGGTTTTGTTTTTGAGGGCGGCTGTGGGATTTTCAATTCACAACATAATAAATACACGCCCATTCGGCCATTTGTTTGAACTCACAGTTGTATTTCAAATTATAATATCTCATACTGAAAGTTTATCTTTTTAACATAACATGATACATTTATATATTTGAAACAGAAACATTATCAAAACTATATCTTTCATAATATAATTATGTGTATGATTTCAACTAGTAATCAATCGTGCATTTCATTGCACAGTTAAAATGTTTACTGATGTGTCTTTTCATTGGTAAAACTTAGGCTGGTCCCAGAATTTGTGCACACTCTCCCACACCGCTTCTCATTCATTTTGGTATGAACTTTGAGGTTTTGGTGGTTGACAAGTGAAAGAAAGGATAAACCTTTGACGATATAATTAGTATACAGAATGAGGATAGTATCAGGAGTTATATCAAGGCAAGTTTTGCCAGCATGTGGGTCCCTTTGTTTCTTTTGCCCAGCAATGAGGGCGAGGTCAAGGCAGCCTGTGAAAAGGTACAAGAAGTTAATATCAGACATTTTCCCTAAGTCACAGGTTAGTTATTCTTTTTCACTTTATGAATTTCCATTTTCTCGTCGGATCATTAGTTTCTATGTGTTTATTCAAGTATCAGCTATGAGCATAAATTAATTAGCCTCTTTAGTTTGATCAAACAAGGTTTCCCTGCCATTACTTCATCAGTTCATCTACCTTATGCATGAGCATGTTAGACAGAAACTTGTATTCACAGTTGTTCTTTTTTCAATTTCATTTTGTTCAGGAAGAACCAAATGACCGTAAGATTGGAAAACTATGTGAGTATGCAGCGAAAAATCCTTTGCGCATCCCAAAGGTACTCTTTTGGGCATGCCCTTTCAGAGAAGAAAAACTTCCTCTCAGATTGTAATAAATCACAATATCATATACACCTATTTGTAACATTTAACATAATGTAGTTTTGTTTGGAAAAGAGAAAAATAAATTATTTAGCGTCTGACAAATGCAGTGCAATGTAATCTCATAGTTTTTCTTTTATATTGTATAAAACTCACTGATTCGTATATTATTTGCTAAAATATTCCTTTTTAACCGATTTGGCCCGATACTAATCAAATTGCAGACTTTTTTTTATTGTAACGGGTAAATGTGTTATTTCACTAGCCTATATACAACTGCTGAGCAGATTACAGCCTCACTTGAGCAAAGGTGTTACAAGGAATTAAGAAATGAGAATTTCCGATCAGTAAAAGCTGTTTTGTGCATATACAAGAAGTTGATAGTATCTTGCACGGAGCAGATGTAAGCTTTCCTTTCTCCTTCCACACAATATGCTATTCACCAAACTTCAGTTTTGTTCTCTGAATTACTTTATATTGAATTGTTTTCTTACCAAATTGGTATTAGTTGTGATCTTTTTAAGATGATGTTGGCTATTTTTAAGTGTAAAATCCAACTCCTGAGTACTTGGCGTAACCTGCACTTTTTATTGAATTTACTCATAAATGAAAGTTCCGTGAATTTGCATCAGGCCACTATTCTCAAATAGTCTGCTGAGCATCATAAACACACTTCTTGATCAAACACAAGATGACATGCTAATAGTGGGCTGCCAATCACTGTTTGATTTTGTAAACAATCAGGTTGGTTGGTATATATGGATGGCCCATTTTGGTTTGGTTTGGTTCATTTTAATTAGTGTTAGATTGCATGGGTGTATTTTGATCTTCATTTATGTTCTTGTATTTTGTAGAAAGATGGAACCTTCATGTTTAACTTTGAAGTGTATATTCCAAAACTCTGTCAATTGGCACAACAAATGGGAGAAGATGATAGAGCAAATAATCTCCGTGCAGCTGCGCTGCAAGCACTTTTTTCTTTGGTAATATTATAACATTATTATTGGGGGTTTACCCTAGAGTATTACTAAGATAAACATATGGAGAAAAATGTGACTGAAGACTGAAGTTACTATTAGTATAACGCCATAGTCACTATAGTGTATAATTGAATAACTATAGTCACTAAAAGTTACTAATATATTCACTCCGTTTATGAGGCTAGATTTTTGTCCATTATCTTTATTTTAGTTATATATATATAAGCCATTACTTCTTCTTATCATTATTATTATGATTAATATTATTATGATTAATATTATTATGACCATGTGATTTTCATTTTGATATTAATAGGAAAAATTGTTTTTGTCATTTACAGGTTAGGTTTATGGGGGAAAATTCGCATATATCTGTTGAATTTGATAATGTAAGCAGCCCTTTTTGTCATATCACATACTTTTTGTTTCATGGGTTGGATTTCTTTTGTATGCTTCCGAGTGCAAGGTTTTTGAGTCTTGAAAAGCTAAGGGTCCGTTTGGATCATGGAAAACGCCGGGGAATGTAAATAAGAATGGAAATACATGATAAATTTGGAAACTGAATTTGGTGGACATTAAAATCTATGTCCAAACTTAATAAATCAATTTCATTGAAATACTTCTGTCATATTAAAAGTTTAAATATATGGAGTATTTACAAAATCTAACCAAATTTGCTTATCTTCATATTTTCCAAGGTAATAATGAATGTAAAACCCATCTTCGCTACAATTTGTCTTCTTCTCCTACAGCCGGTGTGGTTTTCAAGTTTATGACCATTAGAATCATGTAGACAGTAATGTGGGAATCTTTTCTCCTCAAAAGACTTGGTTTCTATTAGATTGGCCATTAGGGTGGAACCCCATGTCTTAACAATAATAAACCACGGAAGGGTAGTCGTTCACATCTTTAATCTTTTATAAAATATATTCTGGAATTTTGGGCAAAATAGAAATAAATGTACATTGGGGAACATGAACAAATAAAAATGATGGGACACATTTAGTTTCTATTATAGAGTTATGGTGCAACATGGCTAACTAAAGTTTTAATCAATGCCATTGAGATGTTATGAGTTATACGTCCCTAATTATTTCTATACACCATTTCCTTATTTCACTAATTTGCATTTCTCGATCAGTTATACCTCATATTTTTCCTGTCTGCAAGGTTGTTTCGGTAATTTTGGAAAATTATGAGAGGCCAAAGAAGAAATCTCAAGATCCTGACCAGAACTTGTGGGCGGAAGGAGAGACTAAGGTTGAGGGTTATACCCCAGCAGAACACATTACAAGTATACCCTCTTGGAGCATGTCACAGAATGACAAGGGCGAAATTAACTTTTCAGTGTAATTGTTTCCCAGAAGACTGTATAGCGTGTGCCTGTGTATTTTTACTTCCTGCCTCTCTCTCAATGTTCAAAGTTTTACTTTTTTATTTTAGGGAGGAAGCCAAGAACCCTTTCTTTTGGTCAAGGATGAGTCTATGTGTCATGGCTAAATTGGGAAATGAGGCTACAACAATGCGACGTGTTCTTGAATCTTTGTTCCGTTACTTTGATACTGAGAACTCATGGCCTCTGGAACATGGAGTTGCTTTTCCAGTTTTGAGGGACATGCAACACATAATGGACAATTCTGGTATTAAAACTACTCTTTTGTTTCCAAAATTTCTAGTTTGGAAGAGTGGAAAAGTGAAAGGGCGAAAAGAGAGGAGGGAAGAGAGGGAAATATGGGTTCTGAGGCAATCCATTGGCTTAGTAGGGGGAAATGGAGGCAAAAGGAGTGGAAATAATTTCCATGCGCAAATGGAGAGAATCAAGGGGAAATGCATTTTTTGTGGGAAAAAGATTGTTCTCTATTTCTTAAAATATATTTTAATTCAATTATTTCCTCTGCATTTGATTTCTTTCCACTCCCCTTCCTTCGTCTCTTCTTCCCATTGCAAGAACATGAACATGTTAACCTGATTACTTGTCTTTTAATAATTCCTGCAGGAGAGAATGTACATTTTTTGCTCTCAATATTGGTGAAGCACCTCGATCATAAAAATGTTATTAAACAACCTAAAATGCAGCTTGACATTATTAAGGTGATCAGCACCCTTACTCAACACACAAAGATGCAGCACTCGGTGGCATTAATTAGTTCAATAAGTGATGTCATGAGGCATCTACGCAAAAGCATGCATTATTCTCTTGATGATTCACATTTGGAAGCTGACATGATAAAGTGGAATGTATATTTCCAACAAGCTGTGGACGAGTGCCTTGTGGAGCTATGCAATAAGGTGCAACTAGTTCTTTTTCTCTTTTATTAACAATAGAAAACATTATAAAATATAATGGTATCAAATGAATGAACTGGCTAAAATGGAAGCATTGAAAACTTCCATTAAAAATTCATTAAGAAGATCGAGTTTAAAAATAATCCATTAACAAAATCCATCCTTTAACCATTTTTCACGGATCTATATTCAATCCATCCATTTCATAGTGCTTTTCATATTTCCATATTTTAGCATATGTAGTAGTCCTAGTAATAATAATAACTTAATAAGTGATACAAACCAATAAAGTTGTGAAAAAAATAATGGTTCCTATGGGTTTAGAAAACACTAAAATGCAGTTCATTATATTTAATGGTAATGGAAGGATCACTAATCGTATATGGATGAGTTGAATTCAATCCATTATTAATACTCCCTCCGGTCCCAAATAAACTTCACACTTTGACTTTACGGTTTTTAAGAAAGTGGAGTTTTTACCTTTGACGTTCCCATCATACCCCTAAAAAAAGTAAAATAGATGTAGTGGGATAGAGAGTGAGCGTAAGGTAGGTAATAAATTAGGGGTATAACCGTATAAGGGTAACTTTATATTAAAAACTTACCAAAAATAGAAGTGTGAAGTTTATTTTGGACCTGCCTAAAAAGGAAAGTGTGAAGTTTATTGGGGACCGGAGGTAGTATTAATTTAATGGATGGATTGGATGGATTTAATTGCCTTTGGATTGAGTAGATGCAGGAATAACCAATATATTCTTTTGCCACCACTGGGTATATCATAAGGGTATTGGGTGCTAATTTGTAGCTCGATATAAGGCACAAATCATTGCTCACACATATAGTTGGTCACATGTTTCGCCAAACTCTATGATTGCCTTGTGCTTCATAATTGTTCCCATTAAAACAAAAAGGAATGAAAAGCATGGCACTATTACTGAAAACATGCATTTTCCTTGTGCTTCATAATTCCTAAATCATCATTAACTTTTCATCCTTTTGACAGATAGGCGATGCGGGTCCTATCCTTGATGTAATGGCCGTGATGCTGGAGAATATATCAAGTGTAACATTAGTAGCAAGATCTGTGGTTGCTGCTGTTTACCGTACTGCTCAGATAATAGCTCCTCTTCCTAATTTTTCTTGTCAGAAAAAGGCAAGGCTTCTTCGTTTCACAATGAGTCAAAAGTATGCTGTTTCATCTAGGGTCCATTTGGAAAGATGATAGAGACCTGGACTTATGGGCTTAATATTTTAATAAAATGTAATAGTGGGCTGGGCCAAGTAATTAGATAGATTGAGGGAAGCCTCATTTGGAAAAGAATAAATAGAGGGAATAGAAGAGGGAGAGGGTAGGAAAAAATTGGAATTAGACTTGGGACTTGGGAGAGGGGACTGCTCGAAGTGTCTCGTTCTGTTTCCTTCCGTTGTAATCGACAGATTTCATATTCAGTAAATCATCGATTTCTTCTGCGTTTGTCGAGGTTTCTATCAATGGTATCAAAGCAGTCAACCCCTGGAAACGTGGAGAAGCTCTCTGGTTTGCACAAAGAAGATCGACGGACAGAACTGGCCGCCTCTGGTTCGCGCGGAAAACTGGAGAAGCATTCAAACAGGGAGAACCGCTTGAACCTGGAGAAGTGCGTGAACAAGGAGAAGCGCGCGAAGAGCAAGGAAAAGGTAGAAAGTGATGGGGAGAAAAAGTGGAGGATCTGTTTGGATGAATTTTGCACCCAGCTGCGTCAACAACGTCACAGTTGAGGTCAGGACAGTTCGCCGTTGTCAGAATTCTGCCAGCAAGGTATCACCATCATCGCTAGCCGCTCCTCACGTAGAGTCATCGATCGATTCTCAGTTATCATCGTTAGACGAATCTACCAGTCCGCAGGGATCGTCGGTCGATGCCTTCGGTTCGCAGGCTTCCTCACTCTCCGTATGTTAGATCTCGTCCTCGTTTGTCGTTCCTCAACCTGCGTCAGTTTCATCGGTTGCCAGAACCTTCGATGTTTATCCCAGTTCGCAGTCGCTAAAGGCTCCTCTCGTTTGTCGTTCCTCAACCTGCGTCAGTTTCATCGGTTGCCAGAACCTTCGATGTTTATCCCAGTTCGCAGTCGCTAAAGGCTCCTCTCAGTTCACAGGGTTGGCCGCAATCGGCTTATCACAATCCACCAGTTCCATCGCTCGGTCTGGAGCCTGTTAGCTGGAGGCAACCATCAGAGGACTATGCTGAATGTAAGGAGCAATTCACATTTGCCGCCGGACCTGAAGCTGGCGCACTGGAAAATGTTTCCCCTGCTATGGCTGTTGAGACTCACTTGTTGGCTCAGTTGGCTTCTGTAGGTCTTAAGTGCACTTGGTCCAGTAGGGGGTCTCAATAAGTGCAACTAGGAAAATTGTTGCTCCGGTTCCTACAGGCACCCTTCCACGAGGCCAGTTGATCAATGGAACATCTATGTCATCTCATTCGGCTTGGGGTGCAGTTTTTCTACTGATAAGTGGCCTGAAGACTGAAGGCATTTTTGTGAACCCGTACAGTGCAGGGAAGGCTCTAGAAAATACAGATACTGCGGTGGGATCTTTGCCAGAAGATAAGTTAACCTACGGAGAAGGGCTTCTACAAGTTGACAGGACTTATGAGTATACTCAGAAGTCATAGCACTTTCCTTGGCTATGATATCAAATCAAGATAAACGAGGCTGGGGAGCCAACTCCTACATCTCAAGGTATGTACCTGAGAGGGATTAATTCTTGTAACCAATCACAACTGAGTGGACTGTTGAGGTTCCACCAAAGTTTCAGGATGATGCAAGTAATTTAGAGCAAATGCGTCCATTTGAAGAATGTATTCAGTTGTATGATACTGGCGGGAAGATGGGTGCAAGTTCATGTTTATGGTTTCGGGTGAAGAATGGGGGTACCAAAGATAAAACCAGTTCTAGTGACTTTCTGGATTTGAATATTGATGATGTTGAAAACCGCATAGTGCTTGTTTACACTCCTATGACAAAAGATGGGATGAAAGGAAGCCCCCAGAGTATTATGTCTGGACCAGTAGAGCCTGGGGGAAAAGGAGGGGTTGAATTAACCATTCCCGAATGCTGTGAAGGCAAGGAGGTTGTTCTTGAAAAGAGATATTTTGGAGGTAAGGGGGAGATTGGAGAATATACATGGTTTATAATAGAGGATAAGCTTCTTGGAGCTGCACTGCTAGATGAACCGTACAACCTTTACCTAGTTGATGCTCATACATGTTGCAAGACTTTAATGTATACTATTACCCTGTAGGCCTGGAAGAAGTTGGAACGTACTTGACTCTATACTGGCTTGAACCGCGCGTCGATGGAAAATCTGGAAATGCACTGGTTTTCATTTGGGAACTCCCTGTTTCCGCTGTTTCTCCGGTGGTTTGTGATTTTCATAAAGAGGAGTTATCATGAAGTACTTACTTCGGGAAAGGCAACTATTTTGGCAGTTATGAAGGACCAAGCTTATTCATTTGGTATAGAGAAACCAGTGATGGAAAAGGAACTCTAATTGATGGATCAAATCCTAAAACATATGAAGTCACCAATGAAGATTATACTTGCTGTATTGTAATTGGAATATTGGATATACACCAATACACTCAGATTCGGTTGTGGGAGAACTTAAATTATCTCAGCATTCTGATGTGGTTCTCCCAGAGATTCCAAGAATTGATAAACTAGTTCTTTCTGGGAAGGATATTGAAGGGGTTGTTCTCACAGCTATCGCGGTTATCTCACAAATTGAAAGCCGTGAACATGTTTGGGGAAAATACAAGAAAATTGTCAGATACCAGTGGTTTGTTTCATCTAAAAAGGGTTTAAAGCAGTTGGCAAATGGAAAAGAGTATCTTGCAGAGTTTCCTTATGCCAGTTTGTTATCCACAGTCGAAAAAGCAGCATGTTATGCACCACTCATGAGATTGCTTGCGCCTATCAATTCTGGGTCACATGAATACTATTGGAGAACTTCCGCTAGTACTTCTACATTGGAATCTGCCTTGTTCTTAGTCAGTTATTTGATGTTTCTGCGGCTTTACTTATCAGTCCTGGTGGATACTTCATGTCAGATGCTACAATTCCCAGGAGTGAAGCAACTGAGACCCCAGGACTGGGGTTATATCCGGAGGCAAGAGCTGTTAGCGACTGTAAGATTGAGCACATGGTGATTGATAAAGCTCAGTTCCAGCATGAACAAAGCCATCCGAGTAGGACTGATGCTCTAAAGGTAGATGATCTATTGATTCTTTTGCTAGAAGTGAGGAGGAAGATTCAAGTATGGAAGCCCCTTGTCCAGCAAACAGTAAGGTACTGGGAAGGAAGAGGCATGAGGATGAAGCTGGATGGCATGGCTGCTCTTACTCCCCACCTTGAGGACAAGGTGGTTGTCAAAGGGGGGAGTGATGATAGAGACCTGGACTTATGGGCTTAATACAACAACAACAACATCCAAGCCTTAGTCCCAAAAGAGGACTTATGGGCGTAATATTTTAATAAAATGTAATAGTTGGCTGGGCCAAGTAATTAGATAGATCGAGGGAAGCCTCATTTGGAAAAGAATAAGTAGAGGGAATAGAAGAGGGAGAGGCTAGTAGGGTTGTAAACAAATCAAATAATTTGTGCTCAATTTGGGATTCGAATTCATATAAGACGATTCGAATTCGGAAAATTCAAATACAAATAAGAATATTAAATTTGATTCTAGTTGTTATCAAATACAAATAAGAATATCGGTGTATTCGATTCGGATATTAATCAAATATATTCGATTAATAATAATGGTAATACTAATGTCAATATTAATAATAGTACAACAAAACAACAACAACATCCAAGCCTTAGTCCCAAAAGATATTGGGGTCGGCTAACATGAATCGATACATGATATCACAACCAAAAGGATTAGCGATATTCATATTTCGATTCATGTCATGTGATGTGACTAGGTGATACTGTTGGCCGTCACACGCCTACCACAGCACCCTCCTCCTTTATCCTGGCTTGGGACAGACATGATACCAAAAAAATGATATCATGGCGGAGTTATTTGCATACAGATTCCAAGCCCATTTGTAATAAATCAGAATATAAATATGAATACAAACAATTTTTTGGTTCAAACGTCTTTCAAATACAATACAAATAACTATGTATTTGTTTTGAAGAATAAAATTAAAGTTGTTTGACTTTGATATAAACAATTATCAATTTATTTCACACATTATAACTATAATTTCTAATATGTGTGTGTTAGTGTTTATTTCAAAAAGTTTGAATGGATTTATATTTATTAATTATAAAATTAATTCACTTTAGTATATTGTGCACCATATAAAAATGTATTGATCCATTAAATTTAAAATCTAAAAACACATATTAAGTCATAGCATGCATTTACAACATAAAAAATACGGAGTATAAGAAAAGTTATTTTAGAATGATATTTGACTCATATTTAACATATGCTCAAATCAATTCGATATTCGTATATGATTCGTTAACTATTCGTATTGTTAAACAAATACAAATACAAATCGAAATTAATATTCGTTTCATATTTGAATTCGAATTCGTATTCGAAAAAATTAAACAAATACAAATACAAAATCTCATTATTCGACTCGATTCGGTTCGTTTACAGCCCTAGAGGGTAGGCAAAAATTGGAATTAGACTTGGGACTTGGGAGAGGGGACTGCGCGAAGTGTCTCATTCTGTTTTCTTCTCTTTCTTTCCTTTTCAGTTGTAATCGATCATACTTCATATTCAGTAAATCATCAATTTCTGCTGCGTTTGTTGAGGTTTCTATCAAAAGAAGAGATATGTTAGGGAGAGGAAATAGAGGAGATAATAGGAAAGAAAGTTTGAGGGAAAACAATCAATTCAAACTCAGCAAATCAACTATAGATGCTTGTTCCAAGTCATTTAGTTATATGTTACTATAATAAATGTAATGTGTAAGTGTAACGTTTTAATCAAAACGATCTATCGAAACAGTTTTAATCAAATTTAATTTTCTCATATTTTCTGACGTAAAACATAAAAAAACAAAACAATTTTCCTTAGCTTTATTATCCCTTTTCCTATCATATTCCATGCTCCAAACACAGCCTTAGTATGTTATGTTTTCTAACTTTTGCCATCCTTCTCATTTATAGGCATTTCCGGAGGCTTTGTTTCATCAGTTAATACCAGCCATGGTACATCCTGATCACGAAACACGCATTGGAGCCCACCAGATCTTCTCTGTTGTACTTGTTCCTTCTTCTGTTTGCCCCAATAAGGACATGTATGTTCCCAGAATGCAGAAAGGTGTTGGACTTCCAAGAACACTATCAAGGAACGTTTCTGTTTTTTCATCTTCAGCTGCACTTTTTGAGAAGCTCAGAGACCAGAGGTTTCCCAGTGAGAAACTTAATCACGAGAATAAAGAGGATGAGGAAAATCATACTAGCGGGATGCTGAATAGAATCAGGTCAACCTATAGTCGAGTATATAGCATGAAAGGTGGTTCGCCTTCCCTTACTGGAAACTCTACAGACCAACCGCATAAAAGATTTGTATGTTTGTTTGTAAACTGTCTACACCCTTCGTCCCAAAAAAAGTCCTGTTTAAACCAAGCTGATGTTCATTATATGCAATGGTTTTTTTCTTAAGTTTTTCCATCACTTCCGATGGAGCCAAATACTCACTATTTTTTGGCTTCGGAATATAATGGATTAAAGCAAAATGGTTCATTACTGTCTGCGCTTCTTTGTAAAGAAAGGCAGCAGTCAGTCCATACAATTTTCGACACGATTTTCATCATGGGTCATCCAGAAAGAGACAGTCTCTCTGTGCTTTAGTACAAGTGTAAGACTGTGTACATCCGATCCCCCTTACCCCACCGTAGGTGGGAGCCCTTGCAGCACTCGGTAATGTTGTTTTTCTTGTTGGTTTTTTTCGTCAGTGTCCCAACCAATTCATGTATGCTAATTTAGTTGCTCCAACAAATGCATAATATTTTAGCTAGAATTGACGATTTCCAAAAATTACCTTGGTCAAATTTAAAAGTTGTGCCTTGATAAAACATTTGAGCATGTTTTTATTACTAGTATGTGAATGTGACTCTTTTTGGGACGCATGCAATATTTTGTTTGATTTTGTTTTACTAGCATGTAAATATGAATCTTCTTTCAAGTTCAGGATGTTGTTTCACTGAAGCTTACTTACCACCAAATCAGAATCCTACTTTCCTCCATTTGGGTTCAGTCAACATCCCCTGCAAATTTGCCTGCAAATTATGAAGCTATTGCTCACACATATAGTTTGGTGTTATTGTTCTCTAGAGCAAAGGTAATTGGATATCTCCCTTGCAACATCTGCCTGTATCTTAGTTACCTATTTCCCACTCATATCCAATACTATATATGAAAATGAAATATGAAATTATCCTTTTACTTTTAATTCATGAACCATTAGTCCTACATGAATATTTATAATTTATTTATTGGCTTTACCAACTTTATCATATGTAATTTATCTATTCTGGCACATTTCATGGATTTTTTTCTTTGTTTGATCTAACAAGGCTAATTTGCACAAAGCGAGTGTTTTTTTTTTTGGGGGGGGGGGGGCGGGGGGGGGGGGTATTTTGGCTATTGCATGCAGTTACCCTGTGTGTGTGTGTTTGCTGCTGAATTTTTTTGTTTTGCATACTCTTATTAGGATGTTGCTTCATAAACTTGTGCAGAACTCTTACCGTGAAGCAATGGTGCGAAGTTTTCAGGTTGCATTTTCATTACGGAAAGTGCCTCTTTCAGGAGGTAAATAAAATAATTTATATTGGTGATGTTTGAATTCATGAAGAGTATAACATGTTAAACTGCTAAGAGTTTGTGAAAATATAAAAATAGTAATATGATTGTCATGGTTTTGGTACTACTTTTCCTATACCTATTGAGTTTAGTCCATTATTTTTCTATTATTGTAATAGCCTTATAGCCGTTGGAATTTACAAAGCTGCAAGTTAAAGTCATTTCTAAAACTAGTAGTTATTATTCAACATGGTTGTTGAAAAACTCTTCAAAGCCCACCATCCATGATATTTGAAAATTATCTACCTAGTTGTGGTTATGGAATATGGACTTTAATTTTTCTTTTTGCTAGTTAAATTAAGTGGCTATGCTTGTAATTTTAATTTGGGATCTTATCAATTCTCAGCTTATTTGTACTCTTCTCATTTATTTTCAGGGGCACTGCCATCATCATGTAGACGGTCCCTTTTTGTCTTGGCAACGTCAATGATAATTTTTGCTGCAAAGGCTTATGATATTTCTTCTCTAGTTTCACGTGTCAAAGAAACTCTTGGTGATAATACGGTCAGCAAAATGCTTTTCTCAAGCTGTGTTAAGAATCTCATTGAAGATTAGACCGGCTAATCAATTTGATCCAATCTTTTAGTTTTGTTTGAGCCAGACCCATTATGGCTCATTTGAATGACCTCGACCAGATTTTAAATCCCTTGCATAGCTGTGTTTCGTTATCCCACTTGGTCATTTGTGGCTTTCTTGCTTGAAGTACATACTTGTAGTAACAAAGGATATTTTATAGGGTGTTGTGCTTTTTATTTAATTGATTAATTCTAGTTTTTTTTATAAGTGTAGTGTTTTGTTTTCTTCCTCTCAGGTTGATCCTTATTTACGTTTGGTTGATGATTGCAAATTACAAGCAGTTGAAACGGGATTTGGATCCAGTGAAGACGATGACTTGGCTTTGATGCGACTTTCACAGCTTGAAGTGAAGGAAGAACATTCCAGAGCCTCTTTGGTTTCTATAATAATGGAGAGTTTGGATAATCTGTCAAATGTAAGTCCAAGTTTTAGTATTTCAAACAAATGGAGCCATTTTGTTAGGAACCTCATATTCAGACAGTAAATTTGGCGTATATTAGAGAAAGAAGATGAACGAAAAGGAAAATACACGAGACACTAGTCCCCTCTCCCAAGTCTAATTCCAATTTCTGCCTAACTTCCTCCTTTCCTCCGTCCCATTCTTATAATAAAACAAAAGGGCCGGCCCAACTCAAGACTTACATGGACCAGAACCCTTATTATTACACAATCACAATTATTTACTACAATTCTATTACTATTATCATTATTATAATAATATTTTATGCCCATGTTCCTATCACATTTCCCCATTTTCATGATAAAACTGAAGAGATGACTTTTTGGATAGACCGAAGTGTCCACTATAAGGGAAGCGCTGCTTAAAGATTTCTCACCAGAAGATGTGAGTTTGGTTGGGGCTCAGTTGTTCAAGGATTCCAAACTGAAACATGAGGGGTTGGATTCAGATGGCAACAAGTCTATGGAGGTAAGTGCTACTTGTTGATTACATTGTTCTTTGTTAAATGCGACTTAGGTCACCCCAAACGGATCCTCTAGATGTGAGATATATACCTCTCACTTGTATACTCGTACTAGGCTCAAACCTAATACACAACCAATGTGGGATACTGGGATACTTAACAATCCTAAACATCCCGCCTAGGCTCTAGGCTTTTCAGGGGCGCACTCCCCCCCAAATTGACTCCAATTAATCCCGCCTAGAATCTGAATGGGCCCTCCTTTTGCCTAACAATTTAATGAATCCTTTATTTTACTATTGCACAGGTGGCCCCAAATTTTCCAGTAGAAGATGATGATATTCTGAGCTCAGTTGAAGGTGTTTATAAGCAAAGTCCACATCAGTTGGTGATAAAAGCTCCTAATTTGCTTAACATTGATCAACTTCTAGAATCTGTAAGTCTGATTTCTGTATATATTCATTTTGTTATTATTAAACGAACGAGAGAGAGAGATGTAATGAGCTAACAGAAAGATATTATTATCAACTGATTTGGGTTACAGGGTATTTATAGAGATTAGTTGAGTCAAACTGACTTAACAACTAACCGAGATACTAACTAACTATATACAATAAACTATTACATCATAGAGTCTCTAGTCTATTACAAAGGTATATAGCTAACATTCCCCCCTCAAATTTAGAGTGATTTTTTTGACAGTTCAATCACACTAATTTTTGTTCTGAGTTCACAAAATCTGGAGCTGGAGAGTGGTTTAGTTAGGATGTCAGAAATCTGATAAAGAGAGGGAATGTGATGGACTTCAAGTTGCTTTATATGAACCTTTTCCCTAACAAAGAAAAGATCAAGCTCCAAATGTTTGATTTTGGAGTGCAAGATAGGATTGTGAGCTAACTGGACAGTGCTGAGATTATCACAGTACACTTTAGGTGCAACAAATGGAACTTGAAGTTCTTCTAAAAGGAACTGAATCCATAGAAGCTCTGCTGAGGTATCTGCAAGGCTTCTATATTCAGCTTCTGTGGAAGATCTAGCAACTCGAAGTTGTTTCCTTGACCACCAAGACACAATATTGCTTCCAAGGAATATACAAGAACCAAATGTGGATTTTCTGTCATTTGGATCAGATGCCCAATCAGCATCACAGTAGACTGATATAGGGAGAGGCATTTTAGATAAGGAGATAGGTTTAATGATGATTCCAAGGTTGACAGTACCAGATAGGTATCTAAGAATATGCTTCACTGCTTGCCAGTGTTCGTGCTGTGGTTCAGCCATGAACTGACATACTTTGTTGACAGCATAACATATGTCTGGCCTGGTTAGGGTAGCATAATGTAACACTCCAACAATGGATCTGTAATGAGAGGGATTGGGTAAGTAGTCACTGCCTTGCTTTTGAAGTTTACAGGTGCTCACCATGGGTGTCTTTACCCCTTTGGAATCCAACATTCCAGCTTGATTTAGTATGTCCCTAATATACTTGGCTTGAGAGAGATGAAGGCTGCCATCAGGAAGTTTGTGTGCCTCTATTCCCAGAAAGAAATCTAGGTCTCCTAGGTGTTTGAGAGAGAAGGATGAATCAAGTTTATGAATGAGTTGACTTATGACAGTAGAGTTGTTTCCAATGATTAATATATCATCAACATATATTGTAGATTATTACAGATAATTACTCATCCGATTTAGCATTTATGAGGAGATATCTTAGAGATCTCAGAATCTCTAAATATCCCCAATTATCTTGTCTTTATTAGGGAATCTTAATTAGGAGGATTCTTTCCTTCTTCCACTTTTCTCTAGCTATATATATTCTGTATTCATCTCATTGTATTACACAGAATAAGAGAAATAAAATACATTTTACTTTCTCAAGTTATTTCTACATGGTATCAGAGCGTGGTTATTCTCTAAAATGATTAAGTTCGGATCCTATGGGATGACCACCGAGAGAGATGGATCTATCCCAGTCACCTCTGAACATTCAGAGGTTGTCCCAACTGGAGATGGCAGCAACCAGAATATCAATGGAAGCACAGTCACCACTCCTAATCAGTCAGATTCGATTATTACTTGCCATAAACTGAATGGTAGTAATTATCTACAATGGTCTCAGTCCGTTATGATGTATGTGTGTGGAAAAGACAAGGAGGACTATTTGACAGGTGATGCACCTGCTCCAGATCAAGGAGATCCAGGCTACAAGAAGTGGAAAAAGGAGAATTATACCGTGATGTCATGGCTCATCAATTCCATGACAACCAGTATAGGAGAAAATTTCCTACTATACAAAACAGCTCAAGAGATCTGGGAGGCTGTGAAAGAAACATACTCAACTTCAGATAACACTTCTGAATTATTTGAGGTTGAATCAATGCTACATAACCTTCAGCAGGGAGAATTGAGTGTAACTCAATACTTCAACAACCTTGTGAGACTCTGGCAGCATCTTGATGTGTTTGAGACATACAATTGGTCATGTTCTAAGGATAAGAAGTTATATCAGGAGATCTGTGAAAGGAAGAGAGTCTTCAAATTCCTGTCAGGATTAGATAAGAGTCTAGATGAGGTTAGGGGCAGAATAATGGGAAAGAAACTCACCCTTAGAGAAGCCTTCTCAGAAGTCAGAAGAGAAGAAAGCAGAAGGAAGGTAATGATGGGTCTGAAATCTCAAGGCCAACAACAAAATATTGAAGGGTCAGCCTTATATACCTCTTCCAGACAGAATGAAAACAAGAAAAAAGGGAGGCCATGGTGTGATCACTGTAAGAAACCAGGCCATACCAAAGAAACATGCTGGAATTTGCATGGTAAACCTAAATATTTCAAACCAAGCAAAGGGAAAGGAGCCTATGTAGCTACTGGAGATAAAGAAGATATGGGCACTTCTAATCTTGCTGCATTTACCAATGAGCAAATTGAGGTTCTTCAACATCTAATAAGTCAGAGCAAGGGGCCTGCACCATCAACTAGCCTTACTGCTCAGACAGGTAATGCCCTAACAACCCTAGTTGCACACAATCAGCCCTATTGGATTGTTGATTCAGGGGCATCAGATCACATGACTGGAGACAGTAAGTTTTTTGCTGAATTGATCCCTATGAAGAATAAGGTAACTGTGAAGATTGCTGATGGAACTACTTCAGCAATAAAAGGGACTGGAAGAGTCAAAATTTCTGACAAGATAGTGCTTAACAATGTGTTATATGTTCCAGATTTAAAGTTTAACCTCTTATCAGTCAGTAAACTGAATAGTGATACACATTGCCTAACTAAATTCTCTTCACAATTGTGTGAATTTCAGGATTTGGATTCGGGGAGGATGATTGGCAGTGCTAAGCAAAGTGGTGGACTCTATCTTCTGGAACATTCACCACATTCACCCAACTCCACCAACAAGACAACTTCCAGTGAGAGTCAATTCAACCATAAGTTTTTAGGGAGTCTTAGTAGGAGTCAATTTGATACTCAAATTCAGTTATGGCATTATCGTCTTGGTCATCCTAATGTCTTGTACTTAGAAAAAATATTTCCTTCATTATTCATAAATAAAAGTTCTGCCTTTGATTGTGAATTTTGTCAACTTGTTAAACATACTAAAAGTCACTATCCCAGTCTACCTTACAAACCATCTAAACCTTTTTCTCTCATCCACAGTGATGTTTGGGGCCCATCTAAGGTCAAAAATCTCACTGGCTCCAGGTGGTTTGTTCTGTTTATTGATGATCATACACGTCTATCCTGGGTCTTCCTCATGAAAGATAAGTCAGAAGTCAATATTATCTTTCAAAAATTCTATTCTATGATCAAAACTCAGTTTCAAACCAAGATTCAGGTTTTTAAAACTGATAATGCCAAAGAATATTTCTCATCCAATTTAGGAGAGTTTCTGTCAAAAAAGGGGATTATACACATTAGCTCCTGTGTTGACACCCCACAACAGAATGGGGTGGCAGAAAGGAAGAATAGACACTTACTGGAAGTTGCTAGAGCCCTTATGTTCACCACTCACACTCCTAAACACTACTGGGGAGAGGCTGTCCTAACTGCAGCTTACCTGATAAATAGGATGCCCTCCAAAACTCACAAATTTAAAACACCATACCAAATCCTATCTACATCCTCACATCCCTATTACCAATCTTCCACCAAAGGTCTTTGGTTGCAAAGCATTTGTTCACAACCATTCTCCAGTTAGGTCAAAACTGGATCCTAAATCCTTACCTTGTATATTCATAGGATATGCTGCCAACCAGAAAGGATATAAATGTTATTCTCCTGCCAACAAAAAGGTCTACATCACAATGGATGTAACCTTTTTTGAAAATCAGCCTTTCTATTCCAAAACTGAATTTCAGGGGGAGAACCACAATGAAATCCAGTCTTTGAATCCTATTTCAGACACTATTCCAGACCTCCAAGAATCTGAATCTAACCACACTGAATCCATACTCCCTGACAGACCTGAATCAAACCCTCCAGACAATACAGTCTCTCCACCAACCACACCATTTCAGCCACCAACTTTATCACCCCAATCATTACCCCAAAATCCTACACTAAATCAAAATTCCCCATTCTACAAGAATACCTATAAGCGGAAACCTAGAACCAGAGTTCCAGAAGAAGAGCACATCACTCCAATTAACACCACACAATCATATGACTCAAATTTGAGTCCTGATGACAAAGAGGTTGAGGCTATAGAAGGAGATGATGAGGAACCAGACTTGCCTATTGCTATCAGAAAGGGAGTAAGGGAGTGTACCAAGCATCCTATCTATAATTTTGTTTGTTATAAGAAACTATCAGCAAACTATCAAACTTTTATTTCAAAGATTGATAGTATTCAGGTTCCTAACAACATCAAGGAAGCCCTTGAACATCCAGGGTGGAGGAAGGCTGTCCATGCTGAATTAGCAGCATTGAAGAAGAATGGAACTTGGGTGCTTACAGATTTGCCAGCAGGGAAGAGAACTGTTGGCTGCAAGTGGGTATTTACAGTTAAATATCAGGCTGATGGAAAGATTGAAAGGCTGAAGGCAAGGCTGGTTGCTAAGGGGTTCACCCAAGCTTATGGCATTGATTATTCAAAGACATTTGCACCAGTGGCAAAGTTGAACACCATTAGAGTGCTGTTATCACTCGCAGTGAACCTAGATTGGCCATTACATCAACTAGATGTTAAGAATGCCTTTCTTAATGGAGACCTAGAAGAGGAAGTATTCATGGATGTACCACCTGGATTAGAAGACTTGGGGAAATCTGGTCAGGTTTGCAGACTGAAAAAGTCCTTGTATGGACTAAAGCAGTCTCCTAGAGCATGGTTTGATAGGTTCACAAGATCAGTTATTAAACAAGGGTTCATGCAATGTCAGGCAGTTTGTAAAGAGAGCAGACTCTGGAAAATTGGCTATTCTTATAGTATATGTT